ACTGTGAATGGGTCATTTTCCTCTGTTGTCCCTGTGCCAGATGTTAAAACGGATCTCACTTCTTTCGGCTTTCTTTTGGGCAAAGACCAAGGACTGCACTCAAAAGTTCCCTCAAACATCAGGTCACTTAAATTAAACAAACCCACATGGGTGGCAATCTCTCATCATCCTTGCAGAGTGTGGAAGTGGCAGCAAAAGCAGTATTAAAACCTCGACACGTGATTTCCCCCCGTGGACCATTTTTGTTTTTACACCGCCACCCGTTGAGGGCTGCCAGTGGTCGAGTTTGTTTGTTTGCTTGCTTGCTTGCTTGCCCGTGCGCTCTCAAAGCGGACATCTGCGACATATATTAGCGCTGCGAACATAATTGAAATGGGCCCTGGGCCGTGGCGTCATGTTCTGAAATCAGAAACGACCCCGAAGACGAGAGCCCGCCCGGGGGTCTCACGCAGAGGGGAGGGGAGTGGACCAGGTGATTTATAAGAAGGTGGAGGAACATGAGGAGCCGAGTGTGGGGGGGGCTGACATTTACCCATATGGGAATGTTGGAGAGGGGTGGGTGGGGGTGGGGGGGGGGGGGGGGGTTCGGATCAAGTAATCATAGGTTACCTCCACGGCTACCTTGGAGGTGCAATTCCATCCCCTCAGCAGAGACGCACAAAGCACAGTGGGGGTATCAGGTGGACCGGTCTGGTGAAAGCAGAGGCCTGGCTGACACCAACCGATCCAGCCAGACCAGAGGAGTGCACACACAGGACACAGAAATCCCCATACGCTCACCCAACGCAGCGGCTCCGTTCTCACATCCATTAATGAAACTCTCACCCTCGTCCTCCCCCCTGCAGCCCCCCCGAATAGCTTCAGCCCGGACAAGAACGTCACCAGAGTGGAAGGTGAGCGTACGTGCCAAAGCAATCAAACCCTGCCAGGAGTACAGACAAAGGAGTCCCGTTTCACAGACCTCGAGTTACGGCCACATCCTCGAAAACAACCCCTCTCTGTCGGGGGAAAAGTATCGTCGCCCGCAGAGTGGAATCCGTACCAAAAACAACCCGTGGTGAGCAATAAATCTGTCTGTAGGCCGAGTTATTCAGTAATATCAACATTGCAACACCATTAATACCAACACAATTACTCTGAGGGCACTTCATCAAATGCGGTGTTGGAGCTATTTTGCAAGACAAAGTCATATTTTTACATTCTAATGCTTGCTGGGTACGCAAAAACCCCGCCTGCAGGTTGTTTGAAAAGGCCACTGGTGAAAGTGTGAGAGAGTGTGTGTTTGTTGGTCCAGGAGGAGGAGGGTGATGTCAGGGGACTAATCAATATGATGAAGGGATAGAGGAGGCAGGGAAGGGCACAAAGACTGGCAGCAACTCGCCCCGCAGAGCAGGGCAGCAGAGCGAACACAAAACCAAACTCCTTCCAATCAACAGACTCTCTGCTCGCCTCCAACCTCGACTGTACGCTGGTCTTGCTTCCGTTCTCTTTTCAACTACCATTAGTGCTGAAATGATTGGTCCATTAGACGATCAAGAGAGAGTTTATCTCCAAGATCATGAGATGATTTTGCAGAGGTGGCTAGGCAAAGATCTCCATTAATTTGTACGGTACTTTATTATGTACGTGTGAGGATACAGAGTGTTGGTGCCGAAACAGATGCCACATGAGCGATGCTTTTTGCACACCGTACCTAAATTTAGACAAACATCTCCGACCAAATCCTTTGTTTCATTAAAACAAAGAAGTTGTATTTAATATTCTCTACTCGTCTCTTGAGATTCATTTTCTGTTATTACTAGGCGGCGGCCAAGACAACAGCCATGCTCATTAAAATGCGGCATTTGCGCTGCTTCCTCCCCAAAGGTTAATGTTTTAAATCACAAGTGTGCCAACTATTGTGCGGTAGCAAAAGGCGGTCTTCATTTGTGGTGAGGCGACCCGCCTCTTCAACACCACGCCACTGGAAACTCACTCGGGCCTTTTTATCAAGTAAAAAAGCCAAACACTCCCCACTTTCAGCATCTCAAAGAAGAGTTGGCGCTTCTTTTGTTTGGTTTAGAGCATTGTAAATTAAATACCTTTGGGTTTTTGGGACTTCAACCAAACCTATTTGAAAATGTAGCCTTGTGTTCTGGGAAACTGCACTGGAAATGTTTTAATGATGTAAATAATTGCAGCCCACCTCTTTTCTTTGTATTTTCCCCATCATCATACTCTCTCTTTTCTTCTTCAGCAGAAGCTGAAAACGACCAAACCCACTAGAAGAAGGAGTTTTTTGGGCAGTTGCCCAGCTGTCACATTTTTACAGCAGCATTGTCTCACTTCAGTCCTGCTCAGGATCATAATTGTTTCATTCCAACCCTAACCTACATTGAGCTTTTTATATTTATAATGCTTTACTGGAAGTACAAACGTGATCTAATGTGCAGTGATGCCATCAGTGGAACAACACCGGAGGTTCTGACTCAACGTGTGCGTCCGATCAACAGCTGATCGGTGAATGAGGAGCGTCCAGCGGGGGATGGCAGGAGTGGGTGGGGCGTCGTCCCGTCCCAGACGACTTCATTAAACCGTAGAACACACTCCCCAACACGCCATTACACCAACTCTGCCTATTACTGCAAGGCCACCAGACGTATCTGAGAAGGCATCTTGACCTCACACACACACACACACACACACACACACACACACACACACACACACACACACACACACACACACACGTTGGAGACGCGCGCTCACGCCCGCCCGCACGCACGCACGCACACACGCAGAGTAATAAATCGTAGCCCTGGGTCATCTACTGTCAGCTGGGCCCAGCGGCTGGTATTTATAATGCCATTCACAGTACACAGCTTAGAAAATGATAGCCTTTACAACCTAAATCATCTTTCCAGGAGCCCCATAATAAAAATCATACAATACGAGAGTCAAGAAAATGAACAGCTGACATATCAGGGTTGGAGCGGTATATCACTTTGCTAACATTTGTGGCCACTGTGACGAAACCTTTTAAATCTTGACCCGCTGAAATTTTTGCTTTGAACATTTGATTTAGTCGATTGATTGCTCAAAGACATAAGTATCCATGTTGGGATGTCATGCATCCTGGAGTTTCCCCAACCACTGGATAGCTGTGGCATGAGATCCCGTCTCTAAGAGCCACTAGCCCTAAAATAATGTCATTAGTGCGAGTCTGGCTGTCACCGTCACATGAGGGTCTAAATGCTATTTCAGTGGATTTTCCACCCAGACAACTCTGAGGGGGAAGAAGTTATATTTGAAATTACTAGCGTGGTAATGGTCACGTTTCCAGATCTGGAATTGATAATTGAACACCATTTATCAGGCACTAGCCCACAAAACCAGTTATCAGTGGGGCTATACGTCGTGTGCCACAATGGTGAATGCCAACAGCGGCAGCTCACACTCATTGCACAACAGACAGCGATGTGTTTCAGATGCAGGCCCGGCAGACTTAATTGCTTTATGACAGAACAAGTCCATTATCAAACAAGCACCCCCCCCCCCCCAGATAAAGAGGGGAGGTTGGGGAGAACGTTGATAACTATATCTGAAAGGATGAAAGACCCAACTATAAATAGGATGTGGATCATTCAGGGGGGGTGGGGGCTTTTGTTTTTAATTGGATATTGAATCTTATCTGGCTGACATTTTGGAGACTGTCTCCCAGTGACATTTAGGAGTCGTCACAATTACAGCAACCTCCTTTTTGAGGTCCAACCAGCCAATTACAGATGTAATTTCTGCTATCCTGTCGTGTAAATCTTTTTTGTGTCCTGTCAAGAGGGCACGGCACCCGTGTGTGCGACTGTGTGTGCGACTGTGTGTGTGTGCTCAGCCCGCTGTGTGTGTGTGTTTAGAAATAGCTTACGTAGGGTATTTGCATTCCAGCGGCTGTTCTAACATGTTGTAAATACAAGGTGTTAGAGAAAACATAGGGGGGGGGGGTGGAAATCACTCAGACCAATTATAAGTGCTGCCGGGGGCGGACAGGATGCAGGTTATCACAGATAAACAGCCCAGTTCACCTGCAATCACAGCCGAGAGCAGCATGCTTGGATTTCTTCTTCTTTAAACCGAACAGAGAAATTGGGGGTGCATCCACCGACACACAGTTATGTGTTAAGCTAATGGGTAATTTGCACAACAGAGAGAAGTGAAAAGTGCATTTTCAAGTAACTGCACCAAACTTTCTACCCGCTTATAAGCCATGTAAGGGCACAAAACCCATCACACAGTGCATGTCTCATTCTCAGCTTCTAGGCTTAACTTAAAGCACCGTTCTAACTCATTTAAGAGTTGGGGTTTTATTCCCTTATCAGCCAAATATGGTCTGATGGTTGAGAGACAGGACACCATGCGTATGCATACTCCCTACATATTGTAGTACATACAACCTAATCTGCATGTAACAGCAACAAAAACAACAACGTATAAATATAAATATATAGTTTAACTTGTTACAAAATCTAATACCCATAGACTTCCAACAGCACGCACACAAGTGCAAAACAAGAAGCTTCAAGACTACAAAGCAACAAAGTATCAAAAGTGGAATTACAAAAATTGAAAGCAACATTTTCTCATATTAAATCTATTTATTTTTTTAAACGACGAAATGCGGCAGATGCGAGTGAGAGCTCGCGCCATCGCTTCAACAAGCATGTTGTCAAACACGGTTTTAATAACGGACGAACGCTCAGACACATTTTCTACGACAGCTTCTATTGTAACCGTACGTTGCGCTCTCTAATAAAAGGGGGAAACTTGGCTGCTGGGGGTTTCAACGTCTGAATGCGCGAGTCAAACCAGTTCACAGAGCTGATACGGACGGAATAAAAAAAACAACAATAAAATACTATTGACAAACACAGGCGGTGCAAATATACCTCCGTTCACCTCTTCCAAAACATGCTCACGTGCGGTTTCAACTCCACTTTGCAGCGTTGTTTAAACGGACGTGGTCTTACCTGGACTCTGGCTGAGCAGCAAAGTTATCAGGGAGCCCCACAGCACCGCGGCCAGCTGCATCTTGCACCCCGCTTTTCTCTCGCTTCTCCGGGCTTCCCTTTCCTCTCGTTCTTCTTGTGGTTCTTCTTGTTCTTCTCCTCCTCGCAGTTAAATATCAACGGGCTTTCTGCTGCAAGTAGACGCTCCGGCTTTTCACGCGAACCTCACACCATGACTGACTTCTCAGCCCCTTTTCTCTCCCCGACCTCCTCCTCCGCCTCCTCCTCTTGTGTGCGATAGCGCGACAAAACCGGGATTAAAAAGTTAACTGTGAGAGGAACAGCCCGGCGACGGTCTCCAACATGTTGTGCTCTAGTTTCTGACGCTGTAGCTACCAAAAGGAGCTGTGGGCCGTACCAAACGCAAGATGAGGGGGAGCTAACTGTGTTTACCGCCGTATATGTAAACTAACTTGAGCGTAAATTAGCAACAATGACACATAGTTTCACGTTAAGTGTTGTAAAATACAAAGAAAACATTAAATCTCCCCAATTTGTTGTTTTTTGACGTTGTGTTTTATCCTCATCACTCTCCCAACTCCCCCATCCAGCAAGAAATTGGCTCGTCCAAAATCTCTGCTCTCGTTGTGTCATTTCTTGAATTACAATGTCTTTAAAAGAGGCTGGTGGTCAGCAAATCAAAGGATACATCCAGACAGCATGTGGAGGCATGAGTAAATTGTTTGTGTTCTCCCCACAGCGAGGAAAAATGTATTTCCCCGACTCTCATTCTGCTTTTCTTTCTTACACAATGTGGGTTAAAGAAGAAGAAGAGGAGGGGAAAAACTTCTCTGTTGTCACTTAAATCAATGGAGGCAAATGACAGAGCAGTGGTTTTTACAGTGGGGTGTAATGGCCGCGAGATGAGGTCATTACAGAGCCATTATTCAGTACCACAGATTTACAAAAAGTTGCTGGAGGGGGTATTATGGTTTATATTAAAATGTAATTAAGTCCAAAAAGGTTTCTGTGGACGCATGTTTGTTTTTTTTACCCAAGGAATACAAGATGCTCCAACAGGAATTATATAGTTATACCACAAGTTTATACATGCAGCTTAGTCCAAAAAGTCACTGTAAAGTCATTATTCACTATGACATAAAATCCAATGCAAAATCCCATAGGAATATGATATCGATTCCATTAGACAGAAAACAACTACAATTAAGTCATTTTTCTTTCACTAATTAAGACTGGAAACACACTGCAAGCCCCCATAGGAACATCACGTTGCCACCAGGAGCTTGAAAAATGAGAATTATATCATATAAAATCACCTAATCTCACTGTTAGGGATCACAGACACATCACCGGTTCCTATAAGATCAGTGTTATAGCAACACAACATGCATTTTAAGTAAAAAGCAAAAACTTAAGTACCGCTAACCAAAACACATTTCAAGGCCTTCCAGGCCTCATGAAAGCTATTTTGATCAGTTTCATATAGAGAATAGCCAATAATAAAGCCATAAATTATAGACAATGAACTTTAACGAAATACTCTACTACCCCATACCAGCAGCTTAATATCCAGTATAGTTCATGCACCAAGACATTTTCAAGTCTAATTCAAGCCAGATGTCACACATAACTGATTTGTTGCAATGCTGACTCAACAGTTACAGGGAAATTTGTGTGACGTTTATTTCTGCCAGTTCAACCTGACATTCATTATGTTTCGGCTCTTCTGTGTGAGTTCTGGCGGAGGAAGAAAGAAAAGGACAATAGCTGTGACGGCTGGGATTTCACAAATCACAGCTGGGCATTACAGCCTACAGTGTGAATGTTACCATTGCACAATGATTATCTATAATGATCTGTTCACTAACAAAGACCACGCTAATAGCGATAAGGATTTCAAATGGTTTGTTGCATGTTGAAGTGATGGACTTTGGGAGCGAAAGGTGATTGAGGGAGGAAGGGACGAAAGTTGTGCGATGAAGGGTAAGGGATGAGGGTAGGGGATGAAAGGATGAGGGTTGAGGGATAAAGTGATGTAGGGTAAGGGATGAAGAAATGAGGGTTGTGGGATGAAGAGATGTAGGGTAAGGAATGAGGGTCGTGGGATGAAGAGATGTAGGGTAAGAATCAGAATCAGAACCTTTTATTGCCTCACTAGCACGTCCACTGCTGCACAGTCTTCATATTTCTCTCTCCTCTTTCTCTGGAAAGGAGGCTTTAGAACCCACTTTCTAGTGACGAGGCAGCTTCAGTTAGGACGTGAGCTCCATCGTCTCTAAACGGGACATCGTCATTCAGCACACGCCTCCCCTGCACTCTCCTGTGGAGCATCAATCAGGGTATTAAATTTTATCCAAATATAGGTGGTCCGCGCTGTCACCTATTCATGATTTGATGCAGAGTGTTTGAATAAACAATGCATGAGGACAAAGAACGGTGGTAGTCTTGCGAAAGATCAAAAAGACACTGAATAATGTTTCCGCTTTTATTAGCTACGCTTTTCTTTCATTATAGTTTTAGATTCCCGCATGTAAGGTCCCATAAGTAATGCATTATAATCTTTTTAAGGAAAACTGTAAGGATATTATCAGCAAGTACATGATTAGTGCCTTGGACACCTAAGTCAAGCCCCTAAGTCCCTGTTACAATACTTTATGAATAGGAAAGACCAGGGAAAAGTTACAATACTTAATATTTAAGTCTTGGTTGATTTGGCAAGTCCATTCACTGATAGTTCAACATGCAGGTCCTATATCAACCACTGAGGCTTCAAACACACCTTGAGCAGCCTCTATTTTTTCTATTACACATTATAGTAATAGAGGTCAACAATGTCGTCCAAGCAGCAAATAGAAAATACAAATACGACTGCAAAAATGACAGCCATAATTAGAGAGAATAAAGAGAGAGAATAAGAGAATAAATCCTAAAGGCCTGAGTATGTATTTGATCATCTAACAGCGCCTTCCACACAGTAGAATCGGGCGTTAGCATCCAAAGCGTTTTGTAACTTTCGGCTGTGTCCCGCTGTGCAGTAAGGCAGGGTTTGAACCACTCTCTCAAACTCTCATTCTTTACGGAACTACTTCCTTCCATTTTTGCATGTACAACAACCATGAGAAACATGTGAGGAGGGAATGTTCGGTTATCCTCGTCTGTGCAATTCGACACTCCAATGACACCCAAAAGACACAGAGTTCTCGAGGAGAGATTGAGAGACAGCCAGGAGGAAGCTATGGCGGCGGGCCTTTTTGCCCTCGAGTGTGTGACCGGTTAAAAAACACTGGAACAGCTCCTATGAAGCATACTGAGGTGTTGAAAATATCATCACAGTCAATCTCCACAGGCATTCTCTCTTTGGGAATATTTTACTGGAACCATAATAGTTACAAAGACCATTAAGATGCACTATTAAATAAATACACCCTCCTATGAGAATGTTAAATGTGATATACTGATGTGTGTAGCCTACTCATTAAAGCCAGCAGCGGCTTCAGGAGTGTTCGCGGTGACTGAGCGGTGAGCTGATTCAGGATCAGGACCCGGATGGCCTGGCTGCAGTGTGAGCATGATAGCAGCTGTGGACCCCTTTCAGCTCCCATTTTGTCACCGGGTGAAGAGATGGAGACATTTAATTATAACCTGTGATTAATGTGTCCACGGCGCGGGCCGGGAGCCTGTCTGCGCAGCATTGGGGGCTTTCGTCCCGGTCCCAGACTTGTCTCACGGGCACATACACATTATGAGAATGACTTGTATGCTCTTGTACACATGGTTTCAACAATCATACTGACGAGCCTTATCACTTAAAGTGCCAAAAAGTCACACCACTGCTCCTCTGACTTTCGTATCCTCGGCCTCTTTCTAAGACACCACTGGTGTCTGACACCTTTTGGCCAGTGCAGCATATGGCTGTCAGAAAAAAAACTGTGTGTGTGTGTGTGTGTGTGTTCGTAGGTGCTGGGAGAACAGCTGTGGGCTTATCACTTCAGCTACTGCTGATAAATAAAGAAGCTTGCTGGGAGATGAGGAGGCCGCCACAGACAGAAGATCAGGCAGGTGTTGGAATGTTTATTTTTATTTTCTACATGCAGTGCATGTTTGCGTAGGTGTGTGTGTGAGTGTGTGTGTGTGTGTGTGTGTGTGTGTGTAAAACACAGATATGACCTTCCCTCTTCGCCACATGCTTATTTGCACATTCTTCTCTGAGATTAACACAGGATGTGATTGATTTCCTTCTTTTCTCACACATCCATACAAGTGAATAGGCATTTATAGCACCGTAATAGTTTGTAACAGGAGTCACATATTCACATGGAATGTGTTGTATTTGCTTTTATCATTGGGTGTACCACCCAATTGTGGAAAAAGTTCTCTTAAGAATTCTCCTTGTTGGTGCATTCAAGGGCACTCTGACATTCAAGTCACCAATTCAAATAATTTGCATAGCTCAAAATCCCAAGTTTGCCTCAGGGCTTTATAATCTGTGCAACATACGACATCCTCTGTCCCGGGACCCTCGCATTGGCAAGACATTGGTCAGAAAGAACCTGAGGAAAAACAGGTTACCGGTACCTCAGCGAGCATGGACGCCGGGCCAATCCTAGCACTTGAATGCTACACGGGGCAGGTCTTGCCTAGAAAAGCAGTGGGATTCATAATAAGGCGCAAAAGCCCCTACATGTAGAATTTGAAAATAATTTCCAACTTTGGTGCTCCCCAATGCCAGCAACAATAAGACAATGTGCCAGACGGCAATTACAGAGAAGAGCCGATATACTGATTCATATTTTCATTATATTAATAACTAAACCTTTAATTAGTAATTGATAATTCAATTGAGGGTAATGCATTAATTATTATTTTCTTTACATTTTAATTAATATATCAAATGAACATGTGTGATGTGAAAGGAGTCACTCAGTGATTAACTCACAAGGAATTATCACCAACTTTGCAGCTCTGAGGAGGTTTTTCGGCGTCTTTGGCTCATTGCGTTTGGCACATTTTCTGTACGGTTCAGTCTCAGCACTCTCAGCCTCGTTTGGATTGGCAGCTAGTTTCAGCAAGCGAGCTCTGATACACCCACAGTATGCAACCAGATTACATTTTTAAGAAGCTGAAGATCAAACTGATGCTCAAAGGAGAGTGAATATTAGACATCATCAGTTGAAGAGAAAACGACTCTAAATGAATGCTAATGTTGCTCTGTGTCTGCTGGATGAATAAGACAATTGCTAACATGTTAGCCGTGACAATTGTATAAGGTGAAACTATGTCGTTTATGGCGGTGTGTCTCTCAGCTTGTGGTGTTCTTCTGCCCCAACGAGCCGA